GAAAAATTAGATTTAGTGTTTATCTAACTAACATAAATCTTATAAATTTTAATAGTAAGGCTGTAACACGCTTGAGGCCCACATGGGAGATGAAAGTAGGGAAAAGGTTTCATGGAAAGGCAGCAGGGAGAAATCTGGTTTTTTAATTAGGAAACCAGAAGAGATGCAAGGGGGACTGTAACGTTAACATCTGTCACAATCTGGACCGCTACGGTGGAGAATGGGTAATTGTGCCTGTCTCTTAAACGACTGTCAGCAGTGTCCAAGCCACACGACAAACTTCCTAACTCGAACATCCCCGAGCACAGGAGTACACGTTCACGCTGAGAAAAAGGCACGAGGGGCACAGGATCTCTCCAAACACAACTTTGTGGTGAAAACGAGTCTGAAGACTTCTGCTGGAAGCCTGGGGTAAATCCTAGCACCAAGACCCTGCACAGAGAAGGTAAGTGGTGGCAGCAAGATCTGCCCGCATCACCTTAGTGAAGCGGGAGAATATTTTCCCCATCTTGTAGCTGAGGAACTGAGGCAAACAGGCTTTTAGCCAGGAGCCTGCAAGAAAAGCAATGGATCGAGTCCAGGTGTCTTGAAACGCAACCCTGTAGCTCTGCCATGCACCTCTAGATCATGCCTGGTGTACCCGCAAAATTCTACAAGTCTCATTTTGAACAAAAACTAAGATTTTTTCAAAATTATCGATTACATGAAACAGCTACGATTGTAACAAGTGTATCAAATTTAGCAAGGTTGGGTTTTGTTGTTTTCTCCTTCACGTTCCCCCTCTGCAGAAGAGGACTGCAGCCATTTTTAGGTTCACAAACCAGAACAGACATGGGAGCTCTTGCTCCTCCTGCCAGGGGACGTCTTTTCTTCAGCACTAAAGCAGGCACAAGGCTGCGGATTTATCTGAAAAACATGAGCAGGGTTTCAGCTGAACTGGTCATAAGGTTTCAGAATGAACACCTCTGCTTTTTCAGATAGGTTGCTAAGAGAGACCATTTCAGGCACTCTGCAGACTCTGGAAGACATTGACCTTTCTTTCCTTGGCCTCAATTCACATTTTTCACTTCATGGTCATGTGGGATTATTATCTGTAATTGAAAGTAAAAGTGTAGATTAAGGAAAAAATTTTGCACAAGAACTCAATTATATGGCAAATTCCGTGGCTGAGGAAATACAGAATATATTCAGTCCTTATTAAACGTTATTTCTGAAACAAATGTTAATTAAAGAAGGCTGAAGATGCAGGCTGGATGGATGAAGACAAACAGAACAATCTCAGACTGTTGCAAAGACAATGTTTCCCCCAATGGAGACAGAACGGATGGCTAGTCTTACTCAGATTGCATCTCTTGAGAGGACAATTTATAATGTACAAGACAGGAGAAATTTATTTGCTAACATATGGAAAACATTTATGGGCTCTACCGAGGATCTGGAATTAAAGAAACACAACTACATATTGTTAAATCTTCTAAATGGAGATTTCATTTAAGAAATAAGCATAGTCCCCTCCAGTCAGTGACATTTATTTCTATACACTTTTGCTTTCTGCCCTAATAGGTATGAATTTCAGAACAGAGGTTTGTATCGAGTTGCTAGTTGCTGTAGGTCTAATCCATAGGAAAATTATTAGATGGCAAAGTCCTGTTTTTAAAGATACAACCCATGCTTCAGAATGACGGATAGGGAGCATACGCTGTAGGGATGGGGCCAGGTACTGCTGCCCAGGTTACAGTCTTGGCACTGCAAGTTACACTGATGGGAGGAGATAAGGCTACCGACACCAGCAATGCTTCCCAAGCAAATGCTCACGTATCCACAGCTGCAGATAATTCACCCCCTTTAAGAACAAAAAACCCCACCTTCTGGTACAAGAAAATGATCCTCCATTAAGCCACACAAAATCACAGCCTGGGGGAGAGCTCTACCTCTGGGGCAAACCTTCTCTTCCCCATGTAAATAACTTGCTGGATGCCCGGAAGGGTTGCGTGCTGGCTGACGAAGAAACAAAATGGATGATGTACAAGTTGCACGCACAAAAATAGGCACAAAGTCATCATCCCACTGAGTGGTATTGAAGCTAACAGAATCAGGGACAGTATAAAAACCCTGTGTCAATCAATATCCAACAGCCGTATCAGGGTCAGTGCTTATATGCAATGAGGGCAGTGGTTTTAAAGCCTGTATCATTACATTGGTGCAAACATCAGTGCTGACATGCAAGATAAAGCTGGGGTGGCCATCTGTAAAGCAGTGTAAGAAATATGAAGTTTTGGACCGGTTGTGGTTGGACAGATTGAAACATCTTCAAGGAGGGGCAGGACCTCGGGCCAAATATTTGAGGCAGCAGCGATGGCTGGGATTTTCAGAGATGGGTAAATGACTGATTAAATGACTCAATCATGCAGATGCTTTTGAAAATTCTGCCGCACACAGTTAAGTTTATTCATGCATGTGTGGGAGAGGGGGAGGACTGTGAAGATTTTAATAACTACCTTAGGAAATAAAAAAGAACAAATGTACTTTCTCTTTAAAACAGAGGGAAAAAAAAAAAACCAAACCACCCCAAACCTGAAAAATCCACTGCTGTGGCTGGAGAAAAAGAGTTTACAGGAAAGTTGTAAAGAAGTTTTGTGTGCAAGGATGACCAAATAGACTATGATACGCAAGTCAAAAAGAAGTGCAAAGAAAGAATGAAACAGAAGGGTAAAAATAAAACAGATCACAGCCCTATCAATTTCTTCCAGTCTAAAACCGCTCCACACTTCAGTCTGTTATTTCTGGCTTATGCAGACTTCCTAACTCCACCATCACCTACCAGTATTCCCAGATAAACGGGAAGCCAAGAACTTCAAAGAGCTTAACGACTGCAGTGAAAGGAGAAACTTCATCCAGAGAAGGCAAAGAAGAAATATTAAGGAAGAAGATGCTCCTAAAGCCTTGCTTTCGGAGTACGACAACACACCCGCCCTGATGCAACAGCTTCACCAACAGCTCTTCGCAAGCTACCACCATCTGTGAAGTCCCCCCTCACCCTCCCTCTGGAGATGACACAACATCCAGAGAGAGCTGCCAGGCAGGGCACAACCCGAGGTGTGAACGTCCCCCTCGATCCCAAAGTGCCGATCGCAGCTGAGTTTTCCCTCCTTCCTAATGCTATCAAGTAGCTTGCTCCTCCTTCTCCACCAAGCATCCTACCCATAAATATCTGCACAGCAGGGGGTTATCTGTCACCTGCCTGGGGTCAAGTAGGGGGGAAAATCTCTCTCAGTTTTGGCTCTTCACTTTGAATGCAGGAGTTTGAGGGATTTTGATGCAGCTGGAGCACCATTCATCCAAGTTTCCCAATGCAAAGCAACACCTACTTAAAGGCAACAACTTCTTCCTCCCAGTAAAAAAAGCACCCTTCGAGTTTAAAAATCAACACTTAACCACAAGATCAAGCTTGTGGGGAAATTCAGGAGCACTCACAGGTCCCCAAACGTCAGCCGGTTGATTTTAGCAAAAATATCCTTTCCTATTTCCACAGGCTACTTTTTACTGCTTTAATACTATTTCCATGTCTAACCCAGCGAGAGCTGGCACACACCCACCCAAGGCGCATTTCGACGGTCGTCCCCTTTCTGATGAGCACAGAAGAGCCGCACACACGTCCAGCGTGACCAACATCCCCAGCAAAGCACAGCTCACCTGGCAAATTTGCAGACAAACCAGCACAAATTGGTAAAATGCTCTGGGCTCCAGCGGTGCCTTCCCCTCCCGCCCCCGTCTGTCCCAGCCCAGCGCCCATAAATCACTTCTGGCAGGTAGCTGGGAAGCAGCTGCTAATGATAGTTTTGCTGCGGAGTGCAGGAAGTCACCTTTTAACCCTGCCTGCTGTTGTTTGTCTCCCGGAGCCGTGACAAAAGGACAGATGCAGACAACATGCCAGCCGTCAGGACAATGCGGTCAAAACGCGGCAGGGAACCTGCCCTGATCTCACACCGGTGAAACATCACCCTCAAAAACACCTTTCGTTTTCGGGTGCTTCCTGGTGCCTATTTTCAAAGAGCTTCATGCCGGTCCTCAGTTTTCCCTCATTCACCCTAAAGATGCAGGGAAGCATCCCAAAGACAGCGTTAACTGAGTTTGCTGCTGCTGTGCTGAGGACATCCCACCTTCCACCCTCCTGACACCCAGTCCCCACCTGCGCTGTGGGACAAGGAGGGCATTTATAATCTAACATGTGCATGGGGGTCTGAGATCGGAGCTGAGTAAATAAATTTAATAGACAAAGCATTTGTTATGAGCGTCCTGTTTTCAGCCCAAGGAATATCCGTGATTGGATTACAATTTCATCCGACATAATTTTTTGGGTTTTTTTCCCCCCCTCTTTTAAAGTGTGCAAGTGTAGTGGGGACAGTATCAGCTTCTCTTTCAGAAAGACTCCAAAACATATTTCAGATATTACCACAAATTAAATATGAGCAACTCACTCCTACATAAGTCATCGCTTGTTAGGTAGATGGCATGCTACTGTGCCTTCCTCCAGCTGAAAAACACTTGTTTGAACTTTCTGCATTTCATGCTCAGGCAAAACACTTATGAAGTTGGCTTTTGTTAACAATTGCAATACAAAATCTCATTTCCTTGAGTATGCGCCTGAGTAGCAGCCATCTACTCTAACTTGTGGGAAGCGTCTTAAGGACAGAGAGATATTAAAGAGGTTTGTGCACCACTCAGACCAAGTCATAGGAAATTTGAGAGTTACCATTCGCTCACTTCTAGCCCTGACAACACCTGCTCTGCCGTGCTTTTCACACGGCGACAGGAGGCCAACAGAAACCCAAGACTTTACCTTCTGGAGAGGAGATACTTCCATCAAATAAAACACACCCACTGGCCAAACATGACGACAGCTGGAAGCCAACCCCGAGGCATAAAAAGAAAAACCCTTTCCAACCTGACTGTGTAAACTGGAGCGTAAATGAGAACGACCTCAGGTGAGATGTACTTACAGTGAAGACATCATCATCGCCAACCTCGGCCTCATTGTGAAGCGTTGACGAGGAAGTCGTAGACCCTAGAAAAATGAAAAAATCCAGCTTTTTAAAACACATGACGTTTCTATGCAACTTTTTTTTCATTAGGCCGGTAAACATTTGGATTCTCACACGTTTGTATATTGTAGATGCGTAAGAGCAGCTCAAATTAAGGAAGAAAAATCCATCTACTGGCAGCTGGGTTGGAAAGGTAAAATCTGGAAGTGTTTCTTGACACGCAACTGTATGGCTGCCAATGCTAATTAACTATGTTAAAAATAGCAGTTAACATTTCCAATTACAGAAGACTTTAATTTCTGAAGAACAGTAAAGCTACATACTAATCAGCGCTCAAGATTAGATACTCAGCTGTCAAGAAACCACATGAGAGTTATTCTTCATGTATTCCCTAAATCTGGAGGGGGGGGAAATGACTTTTTATTTTAAAAAAATAAACCTCACTTTGAAGAGTTAGATTGCGTTGTTTTTCTTCTTCTAATTTTGGAAGCTGTTATATATTGTAAAGGTCTTCTCTGCTACCAGCTATTTCTCAGAGAACCACTTTGCCCCCCATAAGCAAAGTATTTGAAAGGAGCTGAAATGTGTAAAATCATAGACAAGAGCAAAACACTTGGGTGCGGTTCTCATTAATTACGTGGCAATCGTCTGGAAAAAGAGGGAAATTATAGTAAAAACCCCTTCCTCCAACCCCTTTCCCCACCCTGCAGGTGTCCCTCTCTGGAGCTGCTCAAAAGCCGGGTCAGCACCCACATCGCAGAAGGGCAGCGGGAAGGGAGGCACACGCCATCGCTGGACCCGGCGCTGAATTTATGCTGTGGCTAAAAGGGGGTGATCCCTCTCCCCTACCCCTGGCCAAGGATCCTGAAGCCCCTTCCCAGCTGGCTTCACGTGCCATGAGGCTGCCAAGGAGGGTGGGCATTAGGGCCACATCACATCCCTGGCTGAAATAGTTGAACGGTTTGTACCACCTTCATTCTGGAAATTTTTAAAAATAATGTACTTTATATAACGCTATCTGCGCCAGCCTCGGCTGCTCTCAGTTGCATCATCACAAAGATGCGCAGAGCTAAGTGCGAAAGCCCACTTAAAATGCTAAGTAACATGAAAACATTTGTGCCATTTGCTACATTAGCTTTAAAAGTAAAAAAATCCAGACGCTCTACAGAGCTACATAGGATTCCTGCATTTGTGCACAAAACTTCTTTACTCCTGATGCTACAGGGAACAAGCTATTGGTTAAAGATTAATAATAAATCAGCGATTTCATGAAGTTTCGAATGCACATAGCTTGTTGTGCTTGATATTACCTGCTAAATTTGATCAACTACACGAACAAAAAAATGAATGATAAATGAAATCCACTGCCCGACGCTGTCTGTGCACGAGCCAGTTACTGTTTTTCATTCAGAAAGCCTTATTTGGAAGTCAAGGAGGAACACATTCATGAGGATCAGTTTGTGCTGTTAATGGATAAATATAGATTTGCTGATTTTGAAGTATCTGAGATACAGCAGAACTTGATTATAAATACCTCCACTGTAAAATGGATCAGAAAGAGCAGAACAGGAGCTGCCACGTGCCAACGTCTCCAAAATACTACTCAATACAGGTGAGTTATCAACTCCTTGAAACTTTGCACAATCCCGTGCCATTTACATAAAACACCACTTCTATGACTCAAAATGCCTCCCAGTTTTAGCAAGAAGAAAGCAGAAGGCCTAGCTGTAACTTCTTCACGTTAATGGCACAGGAAAAAGCAAATGAGTAACTAGTTGAGAAGATCCTTCCTCAAAGTGATGAAGTATTTACCAGGAAGGAGCCCTGGCGCATTATTTCTCTCCCAGTACCTACCATTTCCATGTTAAAGCAAGGAGAGGGCATCCCAGAATGTTAAAGTGTCCTATGGAGCTAATGTCCTCAAAAAATAATATAATCTGTATATAAAAATATCCTGGTCACACCGGGTGAGAAGGGGAAAGGCTTTGGACCACAAAGTCCCTCCATAAAGGGACATGGTTTAAAAAAAAAAAAAAAAAATCAAGCAAAAAACCCCAAGAAGAATCAAATTTCATTAAAATAAAGTACTAATGAATTATACCTGTATTATGATTGCCTGATTGCAATGAAATGTGAAAAGAAAAAAAAGTTATGACAACTTCAAAGCACAGGCAATTCAAACGCATTTTTTACAGAATTAAAAAAAACCCCAACAACACAACAAAGTCTTCAAGAACCACCATTGGACTAAGAGGACGCAGACAAAACTAATTACAGAAAAAACCCCAACAAAACAACAAAAAACAAAACAAAGTTTTATTCAACTCCAGGCAGGAATTCATACTATGATTTAACAAAGACTCAGTACAACGAGATTCGGCTGCACATAAAGAGCCTGGGCTGTTTGAGTTGCCATCGTTAATGTGAAACTCAAGCCTATCAAAAAAAGCAGTAATAACAAACTCAATGATAATTAAGGGAGGAAGTCTGGACAGACCGGGCCAGATAGGATTGGAAAATACCTGGACTGAAATCCCTTTTCTCCTTAAGGGACGAGAAAACTCAGTTCTTAAAAGTACGCTTGGGCTTACTCAGCACAGGGCAAGTGCCCAGCTACACCAGAGACGTCCAAGCCAAAGAAATTATTTTAAACCTGCCCCTCTTCCCAACTCCATGACTCAAACCCCCTTCCTTCCCTGCTCTTCCAAGGGTCGAAGTGGCAGCTGCCGCCACGGTACCTTCAATGAGGTCCTCGATGGCTTTCCTCACTCCTCTGTCGAAGGCTCTAGCGTCGGCGGGGCTTTGAAAAGTGAGCCCGAACTTTCTGTTGTCAACTTTCCAGTGGTGGAAGGTGGGGTTCGCCTTTGTGTACACCAGGTCCTTCTTCACAAAGCACTCCAGCACCACCTGGGAGGGCATGAGCCCCAAAAGAGGAGCAGAGTCACTTTTCCAACCCCAAGGACAGAGCCGTCCCCGACCTAAAAACAAGCCAAGTCTCGCATAGTGGAACATCCTTCCCTACCAAACGATGACTAATAAACGCCAGACACTGTAATAGTTCTCATAACCATCGCACATTCATCTTTTGCTCGTGCTTTGAGTAGGTGCTTCCTTGCTACCCCTGGAGCCTGTTTCAAGACCCAGTGTGGCACAGGTTACAGCTAGTGGGGGCTCAGGTGGAAGGAGAACTTCTTCCCTCAATAACTTTGCTCAACGGAAATTTCATCCGCCAGCAACAGATTTAGGAGGTGCTGTTACGCTCCCCCACCTTTTTTTTTTTTTTTTTTTTCCCTCCCTCAGCCCCAGACAGGCACTCATTTCAAGCTTTGCTGTGCCAAAAACCATCTCTAGGGTGATGCTCAGGAAGAATAGGAATGGCTTGCAAGTCTTACCCTGTCCCCCAAACCCACAAGCATGGCTCCAAAATACTGTTTAAAAAAAAAAAAAAAAGGCATCCTAAGCAAAATAGTATTGCAACAGACAAGCTGTACTTGAAACAGCTTTAAAATACCAGTCTTTTTGAAAGCAAGATCATTTCTGACTCAATGATTTATCCCCCGCCCCAACACTGAGTTCGCAGAGCCTGTGCGGGGAGCATGCATTTTTAAGCTAGCCCATATCTTCACAGGAAGAAATTTCAGAAGAATCAAATATTTAGAAATGAGATAACAAACTGTAACATCTAAAATGGACCCTGGACACAGGGAAAAGGCTTTATTGAACTGATTTGTGTGGGGAAAGAAGAGAGCTCTTTTTTAAATAAACAGCTACCAGGAGAAAGCGAGTGTGTGAACTCATAAGAGACAACTTGTCTTCATATTCTCACTCTGCTCGTTCAAACCTTGAATGGCACGCAGCATAAATAATTCATGGCTGTTTTAAAGGCTTGCGCTGCATTACTCAGTGCAATGTGACTGGCTTCATGGGTTCTTTACACTCCAGGTCACTTCTCATGTACCTCTGCTAGGTCTTAGGAAAAAAAAACCCAAAACAACCCAGGTCCTTTTTCAATCATCAAAGGGGGTCTTTGCACATGGATGTCAAAAAATTTACCTGTTCCTTCCAGGTGGTGGCACGACAACCTAGATAGCAAAAGATGGCAATTCTAGATAAGGATGGTTTGTTTTGTCCAATCTGATACTAGCTGCACGTCTGTTTTTCATTTTTTTAAAAAACTTGCACAAGAATACAATAGCAATAGATTTGGGATAATTCTCATTATAAGAACAGACAAAAGTTGAATTAGGTTCTATTACCAGTTTGTCTTTCTGCCTTTCACCATGGATTAGAAATCCACTTCTTCCATTGCCCTCTGGGTACGTGACCTTGCAGACGCCAACTCTACTGAGACCGCCTCCTTCTTGCGGCAACCATCCCCCACTGGAGTCATCTCGGGTCATAACCACAGCTTTGACTCGCACAATATAGCTGTCACTGCAATGGTAACAAAATAAAAAGAAAACCTTTTGTGAGCATCACATAGTCTCATCAAAGCGTTTTTCTTGAGGGCGGTATTTAGACACCATTGGTCTGGTCCCAACACAGTCCAGGATGGAAGTCCACCTCTGTGGCAGATGGTCTTGACAGCTCAAGCCATCATAGGAAAGAGACCCATCAATCAGCAAGGAATGAACCCACTGGGTTTCCAGACATCAGCATACAGATCAAACAACCCATGGTGCCAGACACCCTTTCCCTCATGCAGTGGGGGACCGGGACCAAGACAGCGAGGTGAGCCAGGCAGCACCCCAAGGCTGCCACCCACAGGGGATGCATTGGGGCATCAGGTCTCCAAAGTGTTGGAAGAACATGTGGTGCTCAAGTAACACATGAACAAAGTGTTTTAAGGTTTCTGTGATCAAATTAGCGAAGCGGGCTTTGGAAGATGACACTCAAATTCCTCCGCAACTGGGACAGCCTTATGGGGAAAAAACCCGACAAGTATGGCTCCAACTGGTACCTCAGATAAAGGGAGACGGGAACCATGTCAGCTCAGGTCATCAGGACCACACCATGTCCCTAAAACAGCTCCACCAGAATTTCAAGGGGCTTTCAAAGATGACACATCACAACATCACCAGAAGCTATTCTGGAAGCAGTGAGATTTGGGGGTGATCCAGCTGCCCATCACCATGGGTCAAAAGAGCCCCCACAGCAGGAGGCTCCACTTCCTCATCAGGCTTCCTCCCACACCCTTTCCACGGAGCAGTTGCTCCACCATCTGCTGGAGACATTACCAGGGAACGGGGTCATTTGGGAGCGGAAAGGCCACTACAAGACATAAGGAAAAGCCATGCACCTTGCATGGCACACGCAACAGACTCCAACCTAAAATGGGTTCCATCCCAGAGCTTCTGGGAAATACCAAAATTAGCTTTTCAGGCCTCACAGGGCTTGGTGTAACCTGTCACATGTTAGACATTGATTAATCCAGTGAATGCTCAGGAACAGTGCCAACAGCTGTGATGCTGTGTGCCTCCTCACAGGGAGGTCACCACAGCATGGTTAGACATCAGCCACATGCAACCACAACACTCTCTGCTGCAGAGACACCTACCAGCACCCACAAAGGTGCCACAGGGCACTCAAACCTGGGCAAAACTGGGAACGTCAACAGGGGCTAAAAGAAAGGACGCATAAAGAAAATTGCCCAGTAATTGTCCACCTCCAGGCCATCAGGTGAGCTCACCAGGAGGAGAAAGCCAAACCTGTCCAGGGCTCCAGGAGGAGGCCTTTCAGAATGACAGGTATCATCCTTTAGGGAAAGGAATTTCTCCTTGAGGAATGCTCTGTATCCAGATCTTTTCCCAGCACCCTGAAAACCATGACAAGGGAATCAGCCCTTTCTATCCAAAGTTAAAAAGCAGCGGTAGCTTTCTTCATCCTGCACCTGGTAAAACCACCTCTTGTTTTCAAACATTATTTTTGCATCACTTTTCTAATCCAAGTGCTAATACTTGAGGTCTGAGTTCCCCTTTCTCTAATACGACCAGATTTTATGTCATACCTAAGCAAGCAGCCTCACGGAACCCACTTGAAGGCAGTTTTGATGACAGGCCAAGGGAGGCAATGAACATCTTCTGGGCAGAGGTGCCCGGGACCAGCTAACCCCTTCTGCAGCTGGACAGATCTTGCAGAACACATGCTGTGATTTTCCCTTCAGTGGCTTTATTTTATGGATACTCTAACTTTCTCACCAGACCTACACAATGAAGGCAGTACACAGATGCTTCATCCTCTGTTGCTCTGAGGAGTTTGCCCTGGCTGATTAAAAGCTCTTCAGCATGCTCAGATACATGGCCGTACCACAGCTGACACATGCACGGCATTCACAGAACTGAGAAACAAAGTTTTTAAGAATATTTTCGCTCCAAGTCCTTAAAGCAGCATCCTGGTACAGGAAACAGGGTAAGCACATCCATAAACAGATCCAGTTACCTTTTAATTTTCTAATGAAAACCCATTTCTAGATTCTACCAGTGGCAACTTTAATCTCTTGGCTTCCTGATACTCAGAATTAAGCAAAATACTTCAGCTAATTTCGTACCACACAAAAACTGAGCTGCTTCCATCCAAGACAATTTTTATTCTCCTCATCTCTCTACCGTTCCCATATGGTCCATAAGGACTAGCAATTAACAGATAAAGAACAAAGGAAGCCAACAATACATTTCTATATAGTTCTCCTACTCCCCGAGGATCCTTTCTGGACTTATTTTTAACTCTTTTCACTTCTGGGGAACTCCCACTAAATTTCGAGCTCTCTTCTAATGTTGGAGCTGCTTTGATACAACCTTCTTTCCCATCCTCCCACAAGTCATCCACAAAACCTGCTCCTGCTCCTTCTCCTTCCAGGCTTGGAAATTGCCACTAGCAATATAGCTTCCTGTGGGGTTTACCATTCACGCTTATGGCAGCAGTCGGAGCCTTTGGCTGTCCCAAAAGTAACATCGTCTTCAGTTACTTTACTGCAGGAATCGTCCACTTAAAGGAAAAATAAGAAAGCAGCAGCTACTCAGTAATTTGCATCAATTACCTGCGCATTTCCATCACCTCTCGGTGATTTCTCCAGGCTCTTAATTATGTTTGAATACTAGTGGATGCCTACACATTAAATTTAGGTCCCCCGACTACTATCCCTGCCCATTATACTCACACCCTGGTGGGGCACAGAGCCATATGGTTTTCATTTTCATATCCCTACTGATATTGTGACCCATGGCTCTTACAACCTCTGCCACCAAGGCCACTGATTTCACCCACATGCCCAACAGCTGCATGACCAGAAGCAACGCCTATTAGAGGAAAAGACAAGCACTTCATTAACTCAAACTGTTGGTTCTACTTTTGAGCAGCATTTTTTTTGGAAGTTGGCATCCTCACCCTGGATTGCCTTGTGCATTTGGTTCAAGGTCTTGGAGACCAGTGAGAACACAGACAGGTTTTGGACCAGGATTGGCAACTGGCATCTGCCCACATCCAAGATGCTCCCGTGATGCCAGAGGGTCAGGGATTGAGGAACAAGGGGGTGAGGAAACAAGCTGGAATATAAGTTTTTTGACCCAAACGGAACAATCTGGTAATTTGCTTTAATGGAAAGTGGGTGGATTGATAGTGGAGAATAATTTGCTGGCTTTTCAAGAATATGTGCTGGAGAATGAACTTAAAGGAACCTAAATGCAAAGTGAAAGACGTTAGAATTTTTCTCCTTTGCTCATTACTCATTTGTCTGTCACCCCCAAATACCCAAGAGAACACCGTATAAACTGCATCTCCCCCAACCTGAAGAGCTAGCTCCTAAAATATATCAAGCCAGAAAAGCTAGCCTCCATTCCCCTACCACAGCAAGACCTCTGCTCCTCTATTGGAAAAGCAACTTGACCAGCAAAAGGGTTCACCTTTGGCAAGGTAAGCAGAGCTCTGGCTCCGTTAATGTAATCCCTTGGCACATTTTCCTGCACAATCAAAAGTCACCAGTGATGTCCCCATCCCCGTTGCTACTAGATACCTAACACGCAACCTACACCAAGGGACTTTGGGGAGGGGGGAAAAAAAAAAAAAAGAAAGAAAAGAAAGAAAAAAGGTGTTTAAGGCTTCTTAGGGCTTGATATCTTGGATTAGTCACTGGACTCGGACTCAGAAGCTGCATGTTGACTTTTCAAGGCTACGCACTGCTTCCTTCAGTTTTATATGTCAAAATCTTGCCTGCCGTTTCCATCCACAAGCCTAGAATAGGCAATGCTTCTTTCCTTCACGCCAGTGTTGATAAATACTTGGGAGGTACTCAAATATTTCAGGTCCATATAAGGACCTTGCTTCCTTAGCATAAAAGCTGTTTATTTTCTTTGCTATTTAATTTTACACGACCGCACCGAGGCTCTGGCTGGTTGCAAGAGTTCAAAATCCTCTGGAGTGATCTGCAAATCCCACGTGCATGTCACTGCTAAAACCCTGGTGCACCGAAGCAGCAAAACAACCACGTTCAAGTCATCCAGCTGCACTTTTATCATGGCAACTGTGTAATTTGAGTATTCCAGGAGAAATGGTTAATGAGGTACGTGAAAATATTTGGTCCATTACCATTAAAGAGATACCGATTTCCGCTGAGATTAGATAACGCAAGCCTTTCGTACAGTTAAAAATGAAAGAGCTAAAAAAAACCCACAGCAGCCTTAGTTCACCTCATTTTATTGGCTTCTTAAACTTTAAGACCGCTCTAATTGTCGGGTTTATGGCCTACGCACTATGCGTTTCATGCAAACTATTCCTAATTATGCTCTTAACTGGAATACTTTGCTATCTTAACCCTACAGATTTGTCTTCAACAGTCTTAAAAGCTTGGGAAGAAAGTATCTGCAGGGATTACCCAGCTGCATGGCAGCCAGCCAGCGTGTTCCAGGGCTGCTTCAGGTTGTTCGCCCGCCCCACCCAGAGCAAAAAACCATAATGAACTTGGGGAGTAAAGGTAGCGCAGAAAACCACGTGCTGTTTTTACTGGAAGGAAAAGAGAGCCCTTTAAAAATTATAGCTCGTGGGTGTGCATTTTATCTATAAAAAAAAAATTAAAAAAAAAAAGAAGCGTGTGCATGTATAATTGCTACTCTGAAGGGTATTGAGAATTTTCCTAAACAAGAAGTGACTGAATGATTACCTTTGCAATAACTGAACCATGGCTGCATTACCTATAGCCTTTTACAAAGCATTTGTGCCTAAGAGACAGGCAACGTTTAAGGCGGATAAAAAAGTGCTTTCCTCCAGCACGCACGAGCTGCATTGTTAAGCGCAGCCGACACCATCCAGTGCTCTCTGACATGAGCCGCATCACTTACAGCAACTGCACCACAGCGAAACCAATGGGGGAAAAAGCTCAAATCCAGGACTAAACAGCAAATAACTTCTTCATTAGTTAAGGCTTTAATTTTACCAG